GACGAAAGGGGAGAAAAGAAAAGAAATTGTTATTTTTATTGGAAACAGACAGAAGGAGTGATGCGTTGCATTTGCTACACTACGCATGTTTATTGAATTATAATTGATTTTATCATACTGTCGCTTCTTGTGTTACTATGTACACAGAAGCAAAAAACATCATACATTCAAAACTTATTCAATTGCAACATTAGTTTGACCAATGACTCATTTTGATACCAATTTAGTTGTTTTAGATAAAGAATAAAAGTAACTCAATCTCAGTTCATCAGAAATGTCGAATAATTCTTCTATATTCACAAGTATTCAATCCTCATCAGTACCTCAAACAACAACAAATGCCTATAATGATCGTTTATTTTTGCACACAATTGCTTGTCAAGCTATTGCTGGAGCATTTACTTGGGCAGCGATTCTTATCACTGGTTATCATGTAAAAGACAAAAAAAAACAACTAGTTTATTTTTCTTATTTTCTTTTGATTTGTTTTTTTAGATTTATCTTCATTTACGTCATTACAATGTTCCATCTGAACAGAAATGGATTGTTCGTCTTTTATTCATAGTACCTATCTATTCATTTGTATCATGGCTTAGTTTAATTCTTTTTACCAATGATTCTTATTATGTCTATTTTCATGCTATTCGAGATTGTTATGAAGGTTCGTTTCATTATGGAAAAATTTTTTTAAGTAAAATAAAACATGCTTTGTTTAGCTTTTGTCATCTATAGTTTTCTTTCACTTTGCTATGAATATTTGGGTGGTGAAGGATCTATCATGGCAGAAATTCGTGGTAAACGTATTGAGTAAGTCATAAAATTTAAATACTAAAATCAATGAATTTCTTTTGCTAGACGAAGGTGGCGAACATGTACGTGTTGTTTGTATAATCGTGAATATACCATTGGATTTTTAAGATTTTGTAAACAGGTAAAAACAATGACAATCAAAAGATTTAATTGAACAATGTTTTTTTTTATAGGCAACACTTCAATTTTGTTTGGTAAAACCTTTAATGTCTGTAGTTATACTTGTCTTACAGGCATTTGATAAATATAAAGATGGAGATTTTTCGACAAAAGGTGGTTATCTTTATATTACATTAGTTTATAATGTTACTATATCACTTGCACTTTATGGATTGTTTTTATTTTATGAAGCAACTAAACATATTTTAGCTAAATATGATCCTATTTTGAAGTTTTTAACAGTTAAATCAGTGATTTTTTTAACATTTTGGCAAGGTAAATTGTGTTTAATGCGTAATGAAGGTTGAAAACAAAAGAAAGAATTTTATTTTAGGAGTACTTTTGGCTATATTTGAAGAATTCGGAGTCATTCAAGCATTTCAAGGAAAAACAAATTTAAGTGTTGGTACTGTTGCTGCTGGTAATTAATTTTATTTTTAAGTTTCAAATTAGTTTTTTTTTTTTGTTATTTGTAATAGGTTGGCAAAATTTTTTTATTTGTATTGAAATGTGTTTGGCTTCTATTGCTTTACGTTTTGCATTTCCACATGAACCTTATATGATACGCGACAATTATCTTCCCTCATCAACAATAAATAATGGACAAGGAGAAATAACAGGTGCTGGTGGACGAATAGTAACAATGCAAAGTATTTCCAATAATCTTAAAGAAACAATGAATCCAAAAGATATTATGCATGGTACAGATAAAAAGATAATTTTTTTCTGGAAAAGAAAATGCTTTGTAATTATTTCTTTGTAGATGCAATTCATAATTTTCATCCACAATACAGAGATTATACACAATATAATGCACAAGTAAGGTCTTTTCTCTGTTTATCTGTTTATATATATATAAATAAATGAATCTATCTATCTCTCAGGCAGCTCGTCTGGACACAGAATTACCTTCTGTGATTTTTCAGCTTCCTCGGGTATATCTGGGCTTTTCTTTTCTTTCTGGTGTCAGCAATAACTACTTCTTCAACTAATGCTTTTTATTTTCACTTATTAAGAAATATTCTTATTATTTATTTTAAATATTTTTTTTTATCTTTAGACAACTGATGATCGATTAACAGTTGTTTCATCATCGAATGGAAATCCATATTCAACACCGAATGATGGACCAGCTACATTACCTATTGAAACGTCAGTTCAAAATCCGAATAGCATTCTACAAAATTTTCCTAATAGATTAATACCAAAAATATTAACAAAAAAAGACGCAGAAAAAGATATGTTATTAATTAATGACGATGTTTAAAATTTTCTTATTATATTGCTATTCTAGTCATCAATATTGATGATTTCCTTTATATCTTCATGTTGTATCAAACAAATCATTAAACATATACGCAAATCAAAATAAAATGCAAAGCTTTCTCTTGATTTAATTTATTTTCTTTTCTATCTTATCTATTTCAATGATAATCATAAAATTTTTTGTTTGTTTGTTGTAACTCGACTTTTCTTATTATTGTTGTGTATAGTTATACAAAAAAAAATCCAAGACCAAAAAAAGAAGAAAGAAATCAAATCATTCATTGCATTTATTATTAGAGTAAATCAGTTTTATGTAAAAGTATTATTGAATGTTTATTTTGAAATAAAATACTGATTTGTTCTCTAACAAATGTGTTAAAATATTTCTATTTCAGATAATGATTTTTAATGTGTATAGTATAGTGTTTGTTGTGTTGAATTTTATTGGTAATATTCAAGCAGAAGGAGGTAGTTTATGTGTCGGTAAAAATGTAACTAGTCAACCTGTTATTGAGTATTGTGATTCTCAAGATGGTTATCTAATTTTTCGATGTTGTCGTTCATATGATAATGAAACATTCATAGCTGCTGATTTAATGGACCTTAATTTAACTGAAATCCCTGATTTTACACAATTTGAAAATTACAATTTAAGTGTTATTGATCTTCGTTCAAATCCTGAACTTATACCTTCACCGGATCATGATTTTCTCACATTAAAATATCTTGATGACCTTATTTTACCTGAAAACTTTAGTTGTCCAGGTGGACACGATGTATGGGAAATAGTTGATAAAATAGCTGATCCTGCAGGAAATCGTTGTAGACATCAAAAAAATTTTTGTTCAAATTTAACAGATATATGTGATGAAAATGGTTCATATTGTAGTACGAATGGACCTAAGCATTTTTTATGTTTATGTAAAGATGGTCTTCATGGTTATAAATGTTTACGAAATGGCAAATTTCCAACAGTTGCATTTTTTGTTTCGACTATAGCTGTAACTGCGATTGCAAGTACTTTTCTTTATTGGACACAAAGACGACATGTTAAACAATAGCTTCTAATAAAATTTATGTGATAATTTTTTTTTCTTTTTTATTATTTGTCAATTAAGTGCAATGAGAAATTTTTTATTTGTTTCTTTTTATACTGAATTTAAATTAGATTCCTTTTTTCTATTTTCATACTTCAAGTAGTATAAAACTAATGCAATGAATGTAATTTTCACCTAATTTATATTTGTTTTTTTTTTAATGAAATATTCTGATTAAAAACAAAGTCTTTGTTTTTGTCTTAAAGAAAAATGAAAATGATCTAAATTAGACATATATTCAAAATAGGTTCCGTTAAGAAGAATAGTTCCCATAGGTAATCTCTCATTCAAATCAGTTCTTCGTTTTTCTTGCCTAAGTGTTTCCATATAAGAATATGCTCATTTTTAATATCAGTATCATATAAATAATCAGATTTTGAAATATAAAATTTGTCTGTGATCTGTCTAGATTCACCCTTTGGTGGCGAACATGGTGTATATACCACTTCGAGTATTTTTCAAAATTGGAAATCGTATACATATCAAATCAATCAGAAATGAGTGGAAATAGCCTACAGAGTAATTTTCCTTTTGTTGATATAGAAAATTATTAGTATTTCGATAGTGTCGGAAATATCCACACATAGTGCATTTTAGTAACTTCTAACATTACATAAACATGTATTTTTACTTTTATAGAGAAACTTAATTTATAAAAAAAAACGCTACCAAAAGGTTAATGAAATTTATGTTGATGCTGACTTTTGCGAGAATTTGACGTACATTCATTATGTCAATTTCATCGATGCATAGTATACATACATAATAAGTAATGCTTGTAATAAAAATATGTACTTATGAATCATATTTATCATGTACTTGATTCAATAAATGTTTCTCATGTCACTACTTCAACATGTATACCTTAAACATGATTGATACTTTGACCTTTGTTTTTCATTTTGTTTTTTTCTTTTTTGCTTATCATTTGTTTTTAGAAGTTTTAACAAGCATTAACACATTATAGACTAAATAAGAAAAATAATATTCTAATATAATATTTCTGTATCGAATATTATTTATACGAATATGGCTGAATCAACAACTTCAACGAGTAGTATTCCTTCGGTGATGAAAGCTGCTCAACAAAATAATTTTGGAGAAATACGTAATGTATTAACACTTCGTGATGATGTACCAGTACCTCGAAAATTATCAGCTAAACAAATTCTTGTTCGAGTTCATGCTGCTTCAATTAATCCAGTTGATTGGAAATTATTAAATGGAAATTTATCTCTTGTTATTCATTATTCATTTCCTCATATACCAGGTAATGATGTTGCTGGCGTTGTTGTCGATATTGGTTCAGAAGTAAAACGTTTTCAAATCGGTGATAAAGTCTATGGAAATGTTGGTGTTCATGGTGGTAGTTATGCTGAATATGTTTGTGGAAATGAATCAATGTTTGCATTAAAACCAAAAAATTTAACAATGGAAGAAGCAGCCGCTGTACCATTAGCATGTGAAACAAGTTATCAAGC